GTTAATTTTTTTTTTTGCTCACTTTTCTTTTTTTTTTTATTTCAGCATATTATGGGGATACAAATGTTAAGGTTATGTATATTGCCCATGCCCCCCTCCCCCCTCGAGTCAGAGCTTCAAGCATGACCATCCCCCAAACGTTGCACATCTCACTCAGTGTGTTTGTATATACCCATTCCTTCCTCCCCCCTCCCACCTGCCCGACACCTGATGAATATTATTCCTATATGTCCACTTAGGTGTTGATCCGTTAATATCAATTTGCTGGTGAGTACATGTGGTGCTTATTTTTCCATTCTTGAGATACTTCACTTAGTAGAATGGGTTCCAGCTCTGTCCAGGAAAATCTATTCACATATTTACCTTATTCCTAGTACTTTTAAAAAGATCTTGATATAAGAATATTAATCCTTCAACTGTAATGTGTGTCAAAAATATTTTCCCAGTTTATCATTTATCTTTGAATTTCATTTATGGTGTCTTTTTTGTCATACAGGGTTTTAAAATCTATGTCATCAAATTAGTTCACCTTTTTCTTACTAGTTCTAACCTTTACCATCATATTAGAAAAGCCTTGCCTCTCATAAGATTATATAAATAGTCACTTATATTTGTTCTCAGTTATTCATAGTTTCATTTTTATGTTAAGCTTTTGAATCCATCTGGAATTTACTTTGATGTATGCTGTGAAATAGCTACCTAACTCTTCTCCTCCCGCCAATATTAGTGGTTAAATATTTGTCCCAGCATCAATTATTGAGAAACCTTTTTTTCCCCCATGATGTGAAATACTTGAGGCATTCTCAAGTGAGTATGTGCTGGGCCCTATGGATATGTGTCCCTATTGGGTTATAAGGAGTAATCCCTAAGGATCGGTGTTGTCTGTGCAGGAGAAACTTCTGAAGCCACAGCAAAAGACTCCCAACTAAAGAAATCTAGAAAAGAGCAATGCATCAATCAATAACCATGCTTGCTTGCTTGCTGCTGCTTGCTCTTTCTTTCTTTCTTTCTTCTTCTTTCTTCTCTTTCTTTCTTTTTTTTTTTTTTTGAGTCAGAGTCTCACTCTGTGTGCTGGGCTACAGTGCCGTGGCATCAGCCTAGCTCACAGCAACCTCAAACTCCCTGCTCAAGCGATCCTCCTGCCTCAGCTCCCGAGTATGCTGGACTAACAGCCATGGGCCACCCATGGACCGGCTAATTTTTTCTATATATTTTCAGTTGTCCAGCTAATTTCTTTCGATTTTTAGTAGAGATGGGGTATCACTCTTGCCCAGGCTGGTCTCGAACTCCTGACCTTGAGCAATCCGCCCGCCTCAGCCTCCCAGAGACCTAGGATTACAGGCATGAGCCACTGCACATGGCCCCAATAACCATGCTTTCTTATTACATTACAGAGAAGGGGTGAAGAATCCAGTGAAATGGAGCAGATTTCAATCATCGAAAGATTCCCTTATCCCTTCCAGGTGAGTTATTTTCTCTCATCAACTCTCGAAAGGACCCTGTATTGCAATCACAGGTAGTTGCGCAAGAAGTACTATCTCAGTGAATAGAATTTTAAGTAGACAAGGACAATGACCCAAGAAATGAGACTACCCAGAGCTGAGAATATTTGCTTTTCTATTTTCCCAATCTAATAATCATTTCTTTTAGTCCCTGTACTTCACAAAGAATATATAGTGGCACCAATTCCATTACAGTGTGACTTGTCTGTGATAATTGCATTGAGAAAGATGCTCTGCTTGTTGAGTGAGCATTTCACTTCCTTCTAGGTCTGATTATCTGTCTAATGGTGGTCATGTGGGTTGAAAAAACAGAAAAGGGGAGGTAAGGAGTGATATTAGGAAGTTCAGTATGGGGAAGGCTTATTAGACTTATACTAAACTTAAATTCTATTCTAGTCTGGAATAGTTGAAATGTCACATAGGCATCTGTTCGGTAGGTGCAGTGTAAGTCATAAAGGAGAGCAAGAGCTACAGATTCGCTCTTCAATCTGGCTTCCCTACATCCTTAGAACGCTATAGGCCACATGTTGTGAATATAGCAGCCTCTGCAACAGTGAAAGCCAGAAAAGGAAGTGGAAAGTCTCAGGGGAGGGGGCTTTCTGTCATGGATTTATGAGCACAGCAAGACTAACAAGCAAAGAGAAAAATGCAAAAGGATCTTGTTCATGTCCCTGACTGTATCAAGGTTATAAAACCTGTGGAGGAGGGGTGTTGTAGACATAGCTTTTACTACCATTGCCTTTCAACAAGATGACATTGTTTGGCTGCCCTAGTGGACAATGCTGAACAGCAGATAATTCAAAATTAATTTATATTTGACTTTAGAATCCATTATATGATGTCTATTAACTCTGTGAGGGTTGGAACCACATTTTATTTATTCATGCATCTTCACAACACTTTATGATGTCTTGTACATAGTAGATGTTCAAAAAGTACTGACTGATTTGATGATAATGCTTAATATATACCTTACTTTTCGAAGTAGGTTTGTGGTTTCAAATGTGGTTTATTTTGGCTAATATTGGTGAAGGGCCACCACTGGATGGTGGGGGGTGGGGAATTAGCCATGAATTAAAATTTTGTTCCATATTATTCAAGTGAATAACCACATATACTAATCAAGACTTAAGTTATATTGATCATCACTTCAATTCTCTCCTATACAAACTCAAAGTTTAATAATAAGACAATAAACTATCCTTTCTTGGATCAACAAAAATCCTATCTCCACCAAGGAGAGAGGAAAACATTATGAGCTAAGTTTACACACAAATTAAAACATAAGTCAAGAGAACCTAAGAGTATTAAAAAAGCTAAGAGCTTCTAAGTCCCACATTCCTGGATATTAATAGCTCAGGAATTCTTCAGGTCATTAACAGAAGCTGAGCACCACTGCTGACTGAAGACTCTGCCTTTCTTTTTTTTTTTAATGTCAAAATATTACTGAGGTATAAATACTTTTTGGTTATGTTTATCAATTTTGTTATGCTTGAGTCAGGGTTATAAGTGTGCCTGTCACCTAAATAGTGTTCATTGTACCCGTTAGGTAGATTTTCACCCATCCCCTCCTCCCCCCTTCCCCCTGCTTGATTTCCATTGAGTTTTACTTCCCCCTGTGCACATGTGTGTTCATTGGTTAGTTCCAATTTAATAGCCAGTACACGTGGTGTTTATTTTTCCATTCTTTAGATACTTCACTTAGGATAAGGGTCTCCAGTTCCATCCAAATTATTGCAAAAGGCCTTAATTCATCCTTCTTCATGGAGGAGTAGTATTCCATAGTAAACGTATACCACATTTTGTTAATACATTCATGAATTGATGGGCACTTGGGTTGATTCTATTAAAAAGTCCAAAAACAATAGATGCTGGCATGTATACAGAGAGAAAGGAACACTTATATGCTGTTGGTGGGACTGCAAATTAGTACACCTTCTATGGAAAACAGTATGGAGATTCCTCAAAGAACTAAAAGTAGACCTACCATTTGATCCAGCAATCCCACTACTGGGTATCTACCCAAAGGGAAAAAAAAAGTCATTTTATCAAAAAGACACCTGCCTTTCTTTGTCTTCCACAATGAATAGGCAAAGTTGTACCTTAAGATTAGTTGCTTCAAGGTCTTTCTTCTTTTTTCTGAATCCTAACTGCTAAAGTCTGTATGTCCATTGCCTCAGGTTGTATATGATGAAGGGCCTCTGTATGTCTTCTCTCCAACTGAAGAACTGAGGAAGCGTTGGATTCACCAGCTCAAAAATGGTGAGAATTATTTGGAAAATAAACTAGTTGCCAAAGAAAGAAGGAAAGGAAGGAAGAAGAAGAGAAGAAAGAGAAGAGGGAGAGAGAAAGAAGACAGAGAAGAGAGGGAAGAAGGGAGAAAGAAGAAAGGGAAAGAGGAAAGAATGGTAGAGAGAGAGGAAGAAAGAATAGATGGAAGGGGAGAAAAAAGAGGGGAGGAGGGAGAAGGAAGGAAGGAAGAAAAGAAGATAGGGAGGGAAAGAAGAGACAGAAAGAGAAAGAGAGAGGAAGAAAAAAAGAAAGAAAAAGATTTTATTTTGCCTCAATATTAGTGATATGATTGAGTTTAGTATTCTAGCATATGAATAAAAGGTGTCATATTAGACTAAGGGTTTCAACACGGTTCTACCACTATCTCTCTAGTGAAATTTTGTAATGTGGGCACCTCCATTTCCCTATTTATAAAAAAAGTCTCATTCTTTATACTGATTACTAGGGTGGTGTGTCTTTCAATGGTTATGCAATATTTAGAATCCGAAGTATGAAATACCTAGCTCCAAAAAATTAAATCAATGATGTGTGAGAGTGCTTGATGCCAGTCAGAGAACCTATTTTTCAAGCCCTCTTCTACCATTTGCAAACTGGGTGACTTTTGACAAGTAGACCAACAAGCTGCTTTGAGGCTCAATTTGTTCTTCTCAAAGGCAAATAATGATGATGCCTGCCATACCTATCTGTCTAAGGATCAAATGAAGTAATAATGTATGTAAAAGCACATGTGAAACTGTAAAGCACTGTACAAGAAAGCACCGTACATTTCCCCATTGTGGATATTTCCCAAGGAAATATTTTGTGTTCCTTACTTTATGAGGACCATGACTTGAACATAGTTTCAGCACTTTGCATAGACTATACGGTGTGCTCAGATAAACTTGACAGTAAATGTTTGCAGCACAGGATGCATGCACACATATTTGTGTGTATATATAGCCACATGTCAAGTGACTGAGAGATTAACTGGTTGAGTTGACATCAGGAAAGGCTGCCTAGAGAAACAGGAAGGATGGCAGACTGATAATGGCATGGTTGGGTTATTGCACGACAGCCCTTTGTCTTAATAAACATTTAGATTCTGATACTCACTGGCTGGCTGTATCAGCCTTGTTCACTCCCTTGAATGCAAATATGCTTGGTCAAAATTATAATTACTAGGTCTTTCAGACTGAAAGGGGAGGGGAGGAAGGAAGAGAAGGGTCATCTATTTTTTTTATTTTAAAATATTAAGGGGGCACAAATATTTTTGTTACATGAATACTTTTCATAATGCTTAAGTTGGGGCTTTTAGTGTGCCCATCACCCAAATACTGTTCATTGTACCCAATAGGTAGGTTTTTACCTCCCCTTCTCCCCTTCCTCCTTTTTGATTTCCAATGACCTTTACATCTCTTTGTGCCCCTGTGTGCCCAGCAATTAGCTCCCAATTATTAGAGAGTACATGTGGTGCTTGTTTTTCCATTCCTGAGATACTTCATTTAGGATAATGGTTCCATCCAAGTTGCTGCAAAAGACATTATTTCATTCCTTTTTATGGCTGAGTAGTACTCTAATATTTATGTATATATACATATATATATGTGTGTGTGTGTATATATATACCACATTGTGTTAATCCACTCATGAACTGATGGACACTTAGGTTGATTCCACATCTTTGCAACTGTGAATGGTGCTGCTATAAACATCCAGGTGCAAGTGTCAGGGTCATCAATTGAATTCTTGCTTCTTGCCCTGTGCCAGACACTGAGCTAGATACCTTATATTTACTATCTCATTTAATTCTCCCTAACACCTTGGGCTAAAAACAATGATAATAATAACTAATACTTAATGTGCACTTACTGTGTACCAGGCTCTGTGCCAAGTGCTTCAAATGTATTTTTTATTTGATCCACAGAATAACCTTATACAGTATGTATTATTCCCCTATTTACAGATGAGGGAACTGAGGCTCAAAGAGGTTATGTAACTTGCTCATGGGTGCATAGCTAATGAATGGTGGAGCCCAGATTCTCACCACATTCCTAGGTCTGTATGACTCCAAAGCTCAAGCTCATTACATGGTTTTGTGCTGCTTGGTTTCCAAGCCCAGAAATTCCACATTTAGTTGGTTGCAAACTATTCTAAAGTACGGCCATGCTGAGTATTACAAAGAGGTGATATCCTGCACCACAGAGTTCAGCTCTTGGCATGTTTTAAGATAAGGGGACTGCCTTAGCCCTAGGGGTACAATGAGCAAACTCTCTGATAGTGCTTATTATGATCCAGGCTCTTCTCTAAATTCTTTACATATAGTAACTCATTTATTCTTCATATTAACCATATGAGGCAGTTGTTTTTCTCATCTCCATGTTATAGATACGAAAACTGAGGTACAGCAAGGTTAAGTATTTTGCCCAAAAGCACTCAGTTAGTAAATGACAGGGTCAGGCTTTGAATTCAGGCTCTAGACTCCATGCTCTGAAACAATATGCTATTTCCAGTCAGAGAAATATTCACAGAGACTGAGATAGGTACCCCAGTGAATATATATACACACACACACACACACACACACGCACACACACACACACACGCACGTCTTTGGTTCTCTCCACAGTGCCTCCAGTTCCCTGCACACAGAAAGGGATAAAGAAATAGTTGTGTGAATTTATTTTTTATTTTGTGAGAGTAAACAATTAAACTCGAGCTGTACACTGATAAATGGCTAGGATGTAGTTTGGAAATAGGGGAAAGTGAGGCAGACTAGCTGAGGGAGTAACAAGGGAGAAAGAGTGTGGTATGTTCAAGTTCATAGCTCCTTTACACTTCAAATACTAACTTCAAAACTATAGTTTAGTCCAACAAAGATTTATTGACTATAGTGCCCACTATATTCAAGTATGAGTAATGACTGAGGATACGAATATTGAGCTTGTAAGCTTGGTTTATCAACTCAGATGTTAACATTACTATGTTGATTATGCACTGCTAGTTAAGTTTGCTATCTAAGTAAAATTACAACAGGCCAAAAAATAAAGCCAAAACACACAAAGAGAAACACCATCACTTTAGCTGGGTCGTTAGTGTGAGTAGGTAGTATGGCTAGGCACAGTTTTGCCTTCTCTTCCCTTATGTTTCACTGAAAGTATTTTTTTCCAGTTGCTCCACCTGCCTATATGTCTTGTTCAACCTGCGTGGGCTGACAACAGGAGCCAAAAACTAGGTGCCTTCCAACAAATACCATAGTGCTGAGAGATTTAAGTGCAAGTCCTAATAATCCCAGGACAGTCCCAGATGCTGGCATTGCCAATAGCAATTTACCTAGGAGCCACAAAATCCCACTCTAGTGATGCTATCTCATTCTTGGGTAAAATGCACCATTGGAAATCGCTAACATGAAAACGGTCCCTCATCAGAATACTGGATACCTCTGCAGGGGTATTGACCATGAGGGACATAAGGAAGTCTTCTGAGGTGCTGGATCTTAGTTGGGTGTTAAACTGATTTGGACAAATGTGGCTCTCAGTACACCTTAGATATGTGCACTTTATTATATGTAAGTTCTACTTCAATTTAAAAAGTAGGGCTTCAGGTACCTCATATCTAGCTGCCATATTTTCTCAATGGTGCTTGCCATATAAAGGTTGTATTCCTGAGAACTTAGCCACATACTCTCTTTCCATTTCCTTGAACATGGCAGTAGGCACTTCTGTGTTCCAGCACCACAGATATTTGCCTACACTCATTCTTCTTCTTCTTTTTTTTTGAGACCAGAGTCTCACTCTGTTGCTCAGGCTAGAGTGCGGTGGCATCGGCTCGCAGCAACCTCAAACTCCTGGGCTCAAGTGATCCTCCTGCCTCAGCCTCCCGAGTAGCTGGGACTACAGGCATGCACCACCATGCTCGGCTAACTTTTTTTTCTATATATTTTTAGTTGTCTGGCTAATTTCTTTCTATTTTTTTTTTTTAGTAGAGACAGGGTCTCGCTCTTGCTCAGGCTGGTTTTGAACTCCTGACCTTGAGTGATCCTCCCTCCTGGGCCTCCCAGAGTGCTAGGATTACAGGCATGAACCACAGCACCCGGCCACCTAAGCTCATTTTCTAAATTTATTTCAGCATATTATGGGGGTACAAATGTTAAGGTTACATATATTTCCCTTGCCCTCCCCCTCCAAGGGGAGGAATGATTCATGCATGCCTGAAACAGAATTTTAGATATTATCCTGATAAATATGGATAGAAGAGACCATCTAGCCCATCAAACACCTGGAAAATATGTATCAACCATTAGTGCTTCCCAGACAGAGCTGGCCATGTGCATTGGTGAAGCAAGCAGTCTCCCCTAACCATCCCATGTGGACACCCTGCTTTTGCAATCCTCTCCTAATTAGCTGGAAATTCTAGGTCTGGCTTAGGGAAGAAAAGAAGGGGTGTCATCTTCAAGGGACCTCTTAAGAGGGCAGACATTATTTGGGAATGTAGGAGAGTTCTTTTTTTTTTTTTTTTTTATTCAACCCACCCAGTTGGATAATGGAGAGTTCTTAATGAGTGTGCTGAGGGTGGGAAGGACAGGAAGTCTTATTTCGTCTCATTAACTTATTAGCATAGCTTAGTTCATCTGAGTGGCTAGTTGTCGATTAGGTATTCTTGGCATGTCTACTGGTGCCCAGCCCTGCATGTGGCACAGAGGACCAAAGGGTCTTCAAATCCCTGGCTGAAGTGGAGTGGCATGGGGGGAGGGTGTAGAGGGTGGAGGTAGTGGGAGAAATCGATCCTGACAGGGAGGAGTGTCAGTGACATTGTTCAGAATTACAAGTGCCTTTTTTTTTTTTTTGTTGTTGTTGTTTGCAGAACCAGTGCCTAGTAATAACAAAAGGGAGACATATTTTTTGGTGGTTTCATAGTGTTTTGAAATTCTCTATAGGCGATGCAGCCCTTTATAAGCCCACACTCTATCTGGACAACTCCTACCTTGATACAACTCTGTCCTCCTTGATACAATGGTGAAAAGTAGTGCTGAAAAAGTTGGGGGTGAGGGGGGGGGCAGGGGAGAGTGGTTAGAAGTCTTCAAATCCATGTGAACAAAAGCATCAAGATGGCACTTTTTACAAAAAAGATAGTACTTTTGTTCATTTGCCTTTAAAGTGCACCTAGCTACCAGAAACTTCTAGGCCTCCCCCAAAGCCTTAAGTGAGTGAAATGTGACTAGCACACTTTTAAGGATTTGAGTTGTTTTCTACAGTACAAGATTTTGTATTGTTTTTGTCTTTTTAAAAAGTTATGCAGGATTCTTCTTAGCAGTAAATGCTGAAATATATATGTCCTCAAATGTGCATGTTCTTTGACAGTAGCAAGCACCTGGGGCAAAGACCAAGGCTGGTCTGTCATTTCAATAGTGTTTGCTTCTGTCAGTTATCTGACACGATGATCCCTGGACGACTTTTCTAATTGACTTCATGCTAAGGTTCTTGAGATGCTACAGCATTATATATTTTTTCTTTTTTAAATGAGAATTGATTAACCATAGCATGCCGCAGCATTTTAAACAGCCATACCAATTTCTCCTCTCTGCAAACTACTCTATTCTTTGCAAAATACTTGGGCTTCTTGGAGCTCTTTTGAGCCTCACAACTCTGGGAGGGAAATGGAGCTGCTGTGTTGATCTCTGGCAATGGGCTCAGCCCATCTCAGTGGCCCAAAGAAAATCAGAACCATGTTTATTCTAGAAGCAGAATCACCTTCATTTGTCCTTGAGATCGGCCCTGCTGTCTATTTTGTGAACACAGGAAGCCTAATGTAGAAGTTCTCACTAAGGCGAACATCCCTAAAAGATCACTCAGGGAACTGGGAAATCGGTACATTAAAAGCTGGAGAGTTTGGGCTGGCATGTTGATTCCCTTATCTGGAAAGCAGACACCACAATCAACACCTACCTCACCGGAAGATTGTAAAGGCTACTGGGAAAACGTAGATAACATATTTCCGTTCTTGGCCTCTTGGAGCCATCAGATATTCTTTTTTTTTGAAACAGAGTTTCACTCTGTTGCCTGGCTAGAGAGCAGTGGCATCATCATAGCTCACTGCAACCTCAAACTTCTGGGCTCAAGTGATCCTCCCGCCTCTTGGCCTCAGATATTCTTATCACGTTGATCAGGAGATACTCATCAAGGCAGACCACTGAAGAAAACTGCACAGGAACTGCCTGGGGCCAGCACACAGTCAGGCAGGCTAGTCATGTGAGCCAACTGGTCCTGTCTGTGGTCTGCTTTCCTTTGGGGTGGCTGAGGAGGGGCCAGTTATTTGAAGCTCACCACTAAGCTTAGTCAAAAAGGAAAACATGCAAATGGTGGATTCTCCCCCATGTCAGATGTGATCTCTCTCTTCTCTCCCGCTGCAGTGATCCGGTACAACAGTGATCTGGTACAGAAATATCACCCTTGCTTCTGGATCGATGGGCAGTATCTCTGCTGCTCTCAGACAGCCAAAAATGCTATGGGCTGCCAAATTTTGGAGAACAGGAATGGAAGTAAGAGATCTGATCAATATAATTTCTTGTTCCTTTGGCTCGATTTCCATTGCTTTCCCAAGAGTCTGTCAAACCCAGGGACATAGGATAAAGTTGTACACTTGGCCACTTCACAAAAAGGCCTGGAAGAGGGGATTAGTGGGGGCTGATACCCAGGTGACCGCCTGCTCTCCAAGCTATGCTACCTGGCTGGCTATATCCACCCAGATACTTTTTATAGCAAAGTCCCTGACCAATCCTGTCCCTGGGCTCTTTCTTAAAGTGCACTCTGGATCATCACCGGCTTCTTGTTTTGCAGGCTTAAAACCTGGGAGTTCTCACCGGAAGACAAAAAAGCCTCTTCCTCCCACACCTGAGGAGGACCAGGTATATAGAGATATTGGGTGTTGCTATATTGCTGAAATGGAAATTTACTGTCAAAGCCTTAGAATTCCCTTGGGACTTGGCAGTGTTAATTAGTATTCTTGCTGAGACAGGAAATTTGTCCTAATTAGGACTTCCCCTTCAACGGAAAGATAGAGAGCTATTAGGTAGCTCTTGGCAACCATGGAATCCAATCACCTGTTTAAAACAAAGCCTGGTTTTTTAATGAAAAGTATTTTCAAACATACAGTAAAATTATGAAAGAATTTAACACTGAACACCCATATACCCAACACCTAGCACTAAATTACCTACCACTAACATTTTACTTTAAAACTTGATTTTTTTTTTTTGAGACAGAGTCTCGCTTTGTTGCCCAGGCTAGAGTGAGTGCCGTGGCGTCAGCCTACTCACAGCAACTCAAACTCCTGGGCTCACACAATCCTTCTCCTCAGCCAACCCGAGTACTGGGACTACAGGCATGCCCACATGCCCGCTATTTTTTTCTACATATATTAGTGGCCAATTAATTTCTTCTATTATAGTGAGATGGAGTCTACACTCTTGCCGGCTGGTTCGAACTCCTGACCTCGAGCACCTCCACCTGCCTCGGCCTCCCAGAGTGCTAGGATTACAGGCCTGAGCCACCTCGCCCGGCCAAAACTTGATTTTTAAAAAAATAGATAAATAAAACTTGATTTTTTCATTCCCTTCTGAGGCACTAGAATACCCTTCTCCATATATCGTATAAGTAGAGCAGATGTAATATCTCATTTTGCAAAGAAGAGAACTAAGTCAGAGACACCTAACCTAGATATGATGTTATGCCAAGCAGGTGCCCTGACCTTGTCTGTACATGGTTGTTGTCCAGTAAGCTTTAAAAATACTGATGTCTGGGTCCCACTCCCAGAGATTTTGATATAATTGTTCTGCGGGAATCAAAATTGTTAAATGTTTCCTTGATGGTCTTCACGTGCACATAGTTGCTTAAAAGTGGTCTTTGAATGAATGCTGAATAAATCTTTTGTTATGCCTGATTTGGGTTAGAATGGCGTCTCTAGTAAGCCAGAGAATTGGGAGAGAAGAAGAGAGTGCTTGATATCTAGCCAAACCCTCCTGCTTTTTCTCCCGACTACACAGATCTTGAAAAAGCCACTGCCCCCTGAGCCAGGGGCAGCACCAGTGCCCACAAGCGAGCTGAAAAAGGTTGTAGCCCTTTACGATTACATGCCAATGAACGCAAATGACCTACAGCTGCGGAAGGGTGATGAATATTTTATCCTGGAGGAAAGCAACTTACCATGGTGGCGAGCCCGAGATAAAAATGGGTAAGTCCACGCCAGCCCTTCCTGAACCTTGTGCCCGTCCACTCCACACACGTGCAAAATGCTGCAGCATCACTCCCCGGCTCAGTATCCTGACCAGAGACGGTTCCTCCCACACCCAAGTGAAGATGCTCTCCCTCCAAGTACTTCCCAGTGTGCAGCTCTCTACACGTGACCTCTGCCACCTCTCTGAGCCTTTGCTGTCATGTACATATAACCCATGCCACATGTGCAGAAGTTCCACACTTCACTGACTTAACCATGCTTCAGAGATGTGGTCCTCTTTGAGGGAGGGGTCTGACATATATACTTCCATTTGAGGTTGGTTCTGAGCCCAGGGATGTGGGCTTATGCATCTTTCTACCCGAGGATGGGAAGGTGCTAGATGATCTGCCACATTGTCTCCCCTACAGGCAGGAAGGCTATATCCCTAGTAACTATGTTACTGAAGCAGAAGACTCCATAGAAATGTATGAGTGAGTATGCCTTATGTTCCCAGTGTACAATCTTCCAAGAGGAACAACAACAATATATATATGTATACTTTTTTATACTTCCAACACATTTTTTTCTTTTGAGACAGAGTCTCACTTTGTTGCCCAGGCTAGAGTGAGTGCCCTGGCGCCAGCCTAGCTCACAGCAACCTCGAAAAAAACAAAGGGAAAAAGGGGGTTTTTCTCGAAAAAAAAAAACCTCTTGTTTTTGC